GAAAACCTTGCATTGCATCCTGTATTAGAAAGCTATAGTATTCTGCAAAGTCAAGAAGAACTAAAGCTTTATTTTCCTTTAAATTAGTTTTCAATGTTGGAGGTAGGTGGCTTGACTGTTTGATATAAAATGATGCTCTCGTAAATTATCTAACTGTTCATAAACCATTTCAATAAATTCATCAAAAGGTAAAGTTGCTGGTGCTAAAGTACATCGGTAATTTGATTTTTGCCATTGATAAAAATTAACTTTACTAATTTTATTTTCTGTAAACAAAGTGTCAATGTAATCTAACAAAACCTCTTTAGCAGGACGTAGATCACAGCTATGCAGCATACAATCTCTATTTTCAATGCTACAAAACATTAATTTCAATAAGATTTTGTAATCAGCAATTCCAGGAATTTTCTGTACGAGGAGCTTTACATTTTGATGGTACTGGTAAACACAAACTGCATTCAGACCCAAAACACCACCCTCAGGAATGCACCACTTAGGCCTTAACTCACAAAATTTTGAAAATCCAACTTTAAGATAATTATATTTCTTTTTAAACTCACTATATATATATATATATATATATATATATATATATATATATATATATATATATATATATATATATATGTATATATATATGTATATATATATATATATATATATATATATATATATATATATATATATATATAAATATATATATATATATATATATATATATATATATATATATATATATATATATATATATATATATATATATATATATATATATATATATATATATATATATATATATATATATAGTAAATCAATATGTAACTCTTTCATATTGACTAGTAGAAGTCGCTTTTGGATGTGTTGCTTTATACTTATCTACTTTAACTGAAATAAACTCTTTGTTTCCTGGACAAACCATTGAATATTCATCGCATTCATAGAAATGAACAACCTCTGTAATTACATCTTGACTAAGTTTTCTACCCGGTTTTGGAGAAGGTTTTGATAGTATTCCAATTTTTTTTCTTAATTTTCTGGCTTGTATTACAGATCTTTTTGAAGTCAAAAAATACTTCTGAGATTTCTCTATTGACCAACTGTCTAGAGTGAGTGTAAGAAGTGTGATTTTTTCAGAATTTGACAATGTTTTTTCAAATTTTGACTTAATTTGAGTCATAATATTGTCTAAATCTGTGTTTGTTTTTTTCAAACATTTTTTTGAGGGTGATTCAATTCCACCAAGTGCATCTATTTCTAAACCTAGCACATTGGCAACAGCCTTTTCTTGGAGTTCATTTTCTTTTGTATTATGTTTGCAATTCAGAACTTTTACAAATAAAATCTATGGGATTTACTTTGCTTCTCAAAGAAAGAAGCTCTCGGTTTAGTGTAAACAGTTCTTGGTAGCATTTATTTTTTTTAGACTTGTTAAACTTGATAAGATAGCACTGTTCATTTAATGCTTTACCAATACAGCAAGTAGAAAGCTCAGGCATATTACTCATTATTAATTAGTTCTAAAATATAACAATTTATTCGGTTTTATTAGTACTTTTTAGATTGACGTATTAGTAATATAAAATTAAATGAAACAATAACTTAACTTTTAAAAAGTAATAATTTTATTGAAAATTTACCTGACTTTTAGAGACTATCTTTTGGGGGTTATAAATAAGCGCCTAATAATTTTTTTGGTTTTTATTAACACTCTTTAATTGATGCGTATAAAAAAACTTTTGAAAAAAATAAAAGGTGCCATCTTAGGTTACAGATGCTTTGCATAGCAGATCAAATTTAGGAAAATCTCGATTCGACTCATATTGGAGACCTATAACTATAACTATAATATAGACTATAACTCTTTAATCAACTGATTTTTTTAATATTCATCCACCGCATGTAGATCAGCAAGCAATTTGATTTGTATTATCTTTTTAACTAGTTTTTGAGATTAAGGTTTTTAAATTATATATATATATATATATATATATATATATATATATATATATATATATATATATATATATATATATATATATATATATATATATATATATATATATATATATATATATATGTATATATATATATGTATATATATATATGTATATATATATATATATATTATATATATATATATATATATATATATATATATATATATATATATATATATATATATATATATATATATATATATATATATATATGTATATATATATATGTATATATATATATATATATATATATATATATATATATATGTATGTATGTATGTATGTATGTATGTATGTATGTATGTATGTATGTATGTATGTATGTATGTATGTATGCCCACAGGGACTTCTTCAAATATAAATAATGTTAATAAAAATAGAAAGACTATAAATAATGTTAATTAATTGCATTAAATAAATAACAGAAATTATTTGACTAAGAAAAATCACAATCAAATTATTATGGGATCTGAGTAATTCGAATTCGAATATATTCGGTATAATTATTTTAATAATTTTTATAATACATATATTGTTTTTATTTACATCACTATTTTACTACAATATTTAAATAATTTTTATAATACATAAACTATTTTTTATACAAAGTTGTTCAACATGTTATTATAAAAACTAGTTTAAAAAAACTAGTTTGCAAACGATTACAACATGTAGTCTACAAGTTTTCAACATGGTGTTGCAACCTTGTAAACTATCATCAATTGGGATGACTGAACACTTTTTAAATATTTTTGCATCAAAGAAGAAAAACTGTTAGCCTAATGAGTACTTTTTTTAACGGAACATTAACACTCCTGGAAAAGTCCTAGGCTTGATCAACACTATGCGTAAATTATTTTAATTTTATTATTTTGTATGATTTTTAATGCGGTATGAGAATAATGATTAGCCAATTTTAGATGACATTGAATAATTCATGTTTTTATTTTTTAGATTATGAATAGATTCCTTTTTTAAATAGATTTGTGCCTAAGCTAAGATTGTTTTTAAGAATATCTAAAATGGATTCGTTAAGAACCATTATGGTGTCTTCACCATTAAGTTCTTTATTTCTTTCTGGAAGATGTTTTATCTCCTCAGTTAAGCAACTGAAACAAAGTAATATATAGCACTATTAATCTCTATTGTGTGTATTTCTTCACCTTTTAGTAAACTTGGTAATGATGTTCATTTTCACCCCACTGTTCATAGTCACTCTCTTTTGACGGTACATGTTGAAAGCTTGTAGTTGATAAAAAAAATTTTAAAACCTGTAGATTAGACAGATGATCATTTTCACCCAAAAACATTGCCCTTGTAAAGTACATATAAGTTTCCAACATGTTCTCTTTTGAATGTGCAAAGTTGCTAACTTGCGTACACATAATGTATGCATCTAATGTTTTAAGGTTGTATGCACTTCACAAAGACAAGCCACATTCTAGTAAACTGTAGCATTTTTTTTTTACCTGACAAATTTTTACTTCCAGACTGAATAATGTTTAGTAATTTTTATAAATAGTGTTCTGCTTGTGGCTTTGTATTGAATTTCGGAGTTTATGACATAAACTAGACAAATTAAAGATCAAATGCCAAAATAAAATTACAGATTTAAAACAGATTTAAAAGTAATCTCTTGTACTTTGAGTTTTAGTTAATAGAATGTTTTTTTTTCCTTTATAAATATTTAACTAATTTGTTATAATATTAATATACATATTTTATGAATGTTTTTAAATATTTAGCTATATGGTTTAAAAACCATATAGCAATCAGATCTCAGATTTAGATTTATTTCTATCTAGTTCAGGATGGATAAATGGTTCTGCAAAGATAATTGAGAAGCGCTTCAATAAAAAGTTCCTATGTGGTGCTAACTATTATATATTAGATAAAATTTTGTCTTTTTAAGGAATGTTGATCTCTAAATCATTAGCTTGACACTTTAAAAATGAAGTATGATATCAACTTTAAAAATGAAATATGCTCTAAATAAAGTATGATTCAAGTTTTCATTAAATTTTAATACTTCTTTTAGAAAAAACTGTTTTTTTTAAAACACCAAACTATTTTATAAACCAAGCATAAATGATCAGTGTTACAAACCTGGGGTCTTCCATCATGCTAGATGGATGTGTATAATTTTGTACCTATCAGAGATGTTTACTTTTTCTGGCCTGGCAAAAGCAAACATCTGAGTATGAAGAAAGTATATGCAAAATTAAAAAATAACTATGCCATTTTATATGGTTTACGCGCGTATAAACACAATTGAAGCACTGTATAATGATTTTTACTAAGAAATGTTTATTTATAACAAAATTTTCAATAATGTCGAGAGCAGCAACAACAATGTTGTTGTTGCTGCTCTCGACATCTTTGGTATTTAACAGAAGAAATATCTCCTCTCCAATTTCTGATTAGATGTTCGGTTATGATAAGCTAAGTTGCATATATAATTCTTAGAAAAAAAAGGGGAAAAAAATTTTTGAAACCTGATATAAGCTTTCCACGAATTTCTAATTTGAAACCGAGTACTCGTTTGACTGATTTAATTTGATTAAATTTATGCAACAAAAATGGTGGTCTGTCAGTATAACTTCCAAAATTTTGCAATGCTTACTAAACATAGAGATCAAATCAAGAATTTACTTTCCATTATTGCTTTGCAAACTTAACAAAAAAGAAAGTGTTTTTTAAGAAACTTTTGAAAATTATTTAAATTTACACATTCGGTGAAAAACTTACTTGTGAATAATCGGCTAAATTGCATGTTTTTTTTTTTTAATTTAAGCTAAATCACATGTATACGAAATTATTGAAAAAAGTTTGAACTCTGTGATGCGCTTCAATAAAAATGTTTGGCCTATTTTTTTTTGATTTGGTTAGCAACAAATATTTAAAAATTTTAAATATTATTTTAGTTACATTTATCTTTACTTTAATATTTTTTTATTAACTAAACAATAAGATGTCGTATGTAGTTAATTTTTATCTAACTAGGTTATAAGAAAGCGTCCGCCTGCTCCCTTTATTATGTTTTCCAATGACCAATCAGAAGTATTGCGACTCAAATATCCTGATATTACTGAGAGAAGTAAAGTAGTTTCTAAAATGTGGAAAAATCTTTCTCTGAGTGAAAAACAACGCTATGAAAATATATATAAAGAAAAAATGATTGTTTACCAGGATAGCCTAACTGATGAAGAAAAAGTAGCGATTAAAGAAAAAAAAGCACGATCAATCAAGCGGAAAAACCTTAAAGAGAAAAAAAAGTATAGTAAGGAAAGTCTTTTGAATCGCCCTATTCGTCCTTCAAATTCCTGGGTGTTGTTCATGAAAGAAAATTTGCAATCAGTTCCCAACGGTGAAAACAAGTTTGCCTTTTTGAGTCAACGCTGGAATGGATTAACAGCTGATGAAAAAGCTATTTATGAAGCAAAATATAATAGTTTAAAAACTCAGTATGACAAAGACATAAATCAATGGCAACAGAAGTATACATAAGTAATAATCTCTTCAAAAATAACAAAAAACTTCTTATATAGTTTAATTTTGTTTTTGTGTACGTGTTTCTTTTTTAAATATACTCTTTATATATATATATATATATATATATATATATATATATATATATATATATATATATATATATATATATATATATATATATATATATATATTACGCCTTTCTCGCAAGTTTCTAATAGTTTGACTAACATAGTTTTCTGTTTTTCTTTTATTAAAGCATCCACGAAACTTGTCGGAATAGTTTTAAGGTATAAAACTATATGATAGTATCTATCTTAAGGGATGAAACTATGATAGTGATGTTTACAGAGCATGTAAACGGTATGAGTTGTTTATATGTTCGATTTATTAGAAAATAGTAAAATTTTGCGTAACTGCTATGTATTTTTTTGGGGTTAAGTTTATAACTAAAACGTTGTTTACCACGTACGTGGCAGATTGCATTATACACATATTGTACTATACAATGATAATAAATTTTCTGTTTGAACACGCTTATTTGGACGCGCTAGTTGCAAATACTATTATTGCAATTTAAAAAAAAAAAACTTTTATAAAGTATTTCTTTTATGTTCAAATTTAAATGGATTTATTATTATTTTATTTTGTTTTTTTCCCAGTACTTCATTAACAAATTAATAAAATTTAGAAATGCAATCAGGAAAGATTTACACAAGGGTGGCTCGAAGGCTAGCACTAATTCCCTAATAGCACTTTTTCCCAGTACTTCATTAACAAATTAATAAAATTTAGAAAGGCAATCAGGAAAGATTTACACAAGGGTGGCTCGAAGTCTAGCACTAATTATAGATGTGGTGCCCAATACACATTAGCATTTTTTAAACTAGATTATAGCTTAGTTATTGTAAATTTCTATAAATTAGCTCAACATAAATTCATAATAAATAGCTATAATATAAACTCATAAAAAATAGTTGTAAATTAGACTAAGGAACAGCTAAGATGACGTTTTTAGGCCCAAATTTATGTGGAAGCCAAATTAAACCATGTGTGTAATAGGAGGGCTCCTCAATTTATTTTTTTATATATAATATGCATAAGTATACATAAATATATACATGCCCTATACAAAAATAACCTCTGTGCAAAATTTCAACACCCTATAATGTCTTCTTTTCTGGCAAGGGACTTGAACACGCCCATTTGGACGCGCCAGTTGCAAATACTATTATTGCAATTAAAAAAAGCTAAATTTGTATAAAGTATTCTTTTTATGTTCAAATTTAATTGGATTTATTATTTTAATTTATTGTTGTTGTTTTTTTTGAAATTTCAGAAATCCATTTTTTTGAAATATTTTTAAGGCGTTTTTTATGTCATCTAGGCCTCCGTAGCCAATTTTACTGTTCTTTCCGCGGCTTGTGTGTGGCTTGGCAACTTTGCTAAAGTCCAGTCAATTGATATTATTTTTTTTAGCATTTTTTTTTTCAAATCTTATGTAGTGACATTATTTAGTACTGGTGGTGGAGTAACTTTGTGGACGACCAGTCGATTAGATCAGTGTAGTCATTTGCTTCAAAGTTTATTTTCAGAATTTAAAATTTTTTTGTCCCAACGTTTCCAACCATCTCAATGGATTCACGTGCTTTTATCACTCTTCGTATGCCAAGAGTTCTGATATGTGTTCTCTTATCAGTTAGCATTGCAAGCAGAATGTTTACTGGAGATGCAAAGTAAGCATTTCGAAAAATTACTGGGTCAATGACGTTGCGGTTGACTTGATCCAGGTATCTGGATGATTGAATTAATTTGTAAAGATTGCGCGCTCCATCCTTAATTGAATGATGGATTTTTATGCAAAACCAAGAAGATGCATACACTCTGCGAACGAACTCTACTATGGTACGTAAGTTATTTGATGGTTCTGCAATGGAAACATGCAATCTTGATATTCTGTTGGCTGTTGTCAACTAGCGTGATATGTTTATGGCCTGGATCTCGCTTAGCAAGACCTGGAGGAGATATGCCTGATCTAATGGCAAGAGCAATATCTTTCCAATTGCTCTGGTCCTTACTCAAATTTGGTATATTAACTGATGGCAAGGTGCAGTTAACTGGCTCAACTGGTTGAAATGCAGTTGACAAATAACCCATTGCACTGATCTACCGTAGAACACTTCCATATCATGCTATATCAAAAACACTTACATATCATGCTATAACAAAAACACATATCATGCTATATCAAAAAGAAAGCGTGATTCTTCTTTAAACTTCTTAACTCGTGCTTTAGTTGTCACGCTTTTCTCTATGCTTTTATAAGCAGACTTGATAACGATATAAGATTTGTGATATGCATCAATCAAATCAATAACACGTTTCTTTGAAACTGTTGGAATGGAAAAAATCAGAATACTTTGCATTTGTTCCAGCTTTTTACAAATAATTGAAAGAAAAAAAATGTTAACTTACTGTATACTAGTGTTTAAGCCATGTTAACTTACTGTATACTTGTCTCAAAAGATTGACAATATTAGAACAAAAGAAATCGAAAAAAGAATAGAAACAGCTACACTTATTCCAATCGAAATATGTGGTTGGTTTTGAAATAACGTTACAAAATTGACTTTAAAAAAAATAAAAGTATAATAAAACAACAACAAATTTTGTGCGTAATTTTAGACTCTTTGCCAGAACAGAACATATTGTCCGTGTGGCGCGAAATTTTGCACAGTAATTAACAATACATAGGTGCATTTTTTGCACACTACCACAAAGTTCTGTGACGTTTAAAAAAATCTTTATATATATATATATATATATATATATATATATATATATATATATATATATATATATATATATATATATATATATATATATATATATATATATGAAGAGTGTATTTTCAAAATGCGGTATATCCATTTTTGTGGTATTGAGATAATTGACTTTTTTCGTCACAACAACATGTCTCGTATATTTGGAAAAATTATTGTTTCTTAATGTATATATACATAAAGTATATTATATAATGTTAATAAATAAAATATTATTAAATAAAATTTTTTTTTTTTTTGTCAATAAGTTTGCATTTATTTTCTTTTTTTTTTTTTTTCAATTATTCACCTCCCCAAGGCCCGAGGGGGCCACTACAGCCGAGGATGCTACTCATTTTTATTTTTTTAAATTTTTTTGTTGTTGTTGTAAATCGTGGTACAACCACGATTCAACTCTTTAACTCGGAAACACGAACCTTGACAAGCAAGACCGCTGCGCGGAGAAATTAAGTTGAGCGCGGTACTTCCAGGGACGTGGTGGGAGTCGAATGACTGAGTTTAAATAACATGACTTAAACACAAGTATACAGTAAGTTAACATTATAAAATTTAAGTTAAACAATTAATTAATTATATTTTATGATCACAAGTCGAAGTTGCTATTTTGTCTTGAAATTTTCTTGGCTTATATGCGAGCATATACTGTAATAACTATTATTTTAGCAGATTATTTTCCAAATTATCATTATTAATTGATTAACCAATAGTTATTTACAACTAATAAATTATTATAAGTTATTGCTTCAGGTCGTGAGTGAGAAAGAAAATAGCAGTGAGAAACAAAACATGGCAAAATCTTCAAAATTTTTAAAGCGAAGAGCGTTAGACTGCCCGACTTTCGGATCACCGACAGATTTTACTACTTCGAACAAAAGAAGATGTTATTAAATTTTTAATTTACGAAAGGTGGCGTCTTGGATATGAAACAACTGATAATAAGGAACCCACATTTCTTCCATATCACATTTCGTTGGAAAAAGCAATTGTAAATTTATATTTGTTTCGGAGAGTTAAATATGGACAATAAACAATAATATTTTTTTAGTGTTGTGTAGTTGTAACAATGATGATCACTATTTTTAAGTCTCCATAGAACTAATGGACAATTAATATAACATAAAAGTCACCGTTATATTTTTGAACGAAATAAAATTTTAAAAATGAAATACTGCAATAGCCTCATTTTATTTGCAACAAAGCAATTGTCGGTTTAACAAAAAATAAAAAGGAAGTATTATTATTGAATGCTTTCCATTAAAAAACAGGTAACAAATATATTTAAACTTATTAATTTAAGTTGCCTTTTTAATATATTTTCTATCATTATTCCATAATTTGTTCAGTTAAACATGTTTAACATTTTTCAGTTAAACATGTTGTTTGTTAACAAACAAAGCATGGTAGTTTAAACGAACACTAGAATTAAGAAATGCTTTTCTTTTCTTTTGTTTCATACATCATATGTTTTTTTCTATGTGAAATAGGATATTAGGTAACGCATTAATCTTGTCCATCGCAATCCGCCATTTCTTTAACGCAACTTTAAAATATTTGCGCTTGCGCAGAAGTAATATACATTTGCCACGGATTGGTCAAAATTAAATACCGCATTTTGAAAACAAATAAAAAATTTTATACCGCGTTTTGAAAATAAATGTTTTTTAGAAGTAAAAAAATATTGGGTTATACTTCGTTTAGCATATATTCGGACACAATGTCTGCTAGGTCCTTATAAACTAAAAATAAACCACACAATTTCTAAAAAATTTTTAAAATGGCGTTTACCGCGTTTTGAAAATAAACTCTTCATATATATACATATATATATATGTATATATATATATATATATATATATATATATATATATATATATATATATATATATATATATATATATATATATATATATATATATATATATATACAGGGCCGGCGCGAGTAGGTGTCACGTGGGGGGTGCCATTACAACTTTTGCCGACTGTCTAACCTATATCGAAAGGGTCGACATTTGCCGACTAACTAGTCTAAAAAGGTCCGATTTGCCGACTAAGGGTCCAGTTTGCCGACTAAAAATCATTGATAGGGGGGGGGGGGGAGTGTCACACCCCCCACACACCCCTATCGCGCCGGCCTTGTATATATATATATATATATATATATATATATATATATATATATATATATATATATATATATATATATATATATATATGTTTGAAA